GCGTCTGGCATTAAAATGAACAACTTTACAATTATTTGCATGCCAAGCGACTTAAATTTGTGTGTGTGTGTGTGTGTGCAAAATTCACATGTAATGCTAAAATATTTTGTATGCTGACGCAAGTTGCGGCTGCTTTTGCAGCCCTTTTTCCCTGGCATTTTAATGAAACCGCAAATGTAGCCCATTCTAATCCCCCCACCTCCTCCTCCACCTATCCCTCTCCCGACAAACATGCATCTCTGCAGGTGCCCGTAACGAACTCAGGGGAGGTATGAGGAAGATAGGAAAACCGCAGACTTTATTTTTGTTTTGCTTGTCGCTTGCCGTGCAAAGATTTTTATTGCAATTTTCTAATTTCATTGCGGATGTTTGTTCCGCTGCTGAGTGGCGGCTTCTGCTTTCCCATAGAATAGAAATACCGTTCATTCGTTCGTTCGTTCGTTGCTGCCTGTCGCCGGCTTCAGTTTATGGCTGCAACAACAAACAACAGCAGACAGCAAACGAGAACAATAACAAAAGCGAGCGGCAAATTGTTGCTGCGGTTGCACACACACACATACACGCATCCACTCACATAAATACGTACACACACACACATATATATATATTTATGTGTGAGAGGGTCTTTTACTTGCCCCTTTTCATGTCTCGCATAAATTCGCATCTCCATTTGAATTTTAAACGCATTTCCAAGCTGTCTTCTAAAATCGCTGACAGTTTTGCAAAAAATATAATAAACATTTTAATGCAGACTCCAAGCTTCTGAAATAGATTTCTGTTCCATGGGCATATTTTTCCCTTCAATGAGCGCATTTATATGCGCCGCACTGAGGCAAGCAAAATAAACTCAAGGTGTTGCCCCACGCGTCCATAAAAATAGTTCAATATCAAAATATTACTGCGGCGCTCCGTTACGTCATTCTCGTCGTCGTCTTTTTGTTCATCGTCGAGCCGAATACACAGTCAGCGAAAACCTCTCTGCTTGCTTGCTTTCTTTGTCTCTTAGTGTGCATTTGACAACGGCCACTCAAATGGTAGCGTGGCCGAGCGGTCTAAGGCGCTGGTTTAAGGCACCAGTCTCCTCGGAGGCGTGGGTTCGAATCCCACCGCTGCCAAGTGATTTTTTTATTTTTCAATTTATTTTAAAATATTCTCTCAATATTAACAAGCAATGGATCTTCTCAGACTTTATTTCTAGCAACTGTGAACATGCTGCTCGCACTGGCATTTCGTTAGATCACAGGCAGCTGTGACGCACACAAGCAGTAGTGGATGACGGCATAGCAACCAACCACTTTGTTTGTTTCTTTTCACTTGAGCTGCGTTATAATTCCCAATGGGTTCTTGTTGGTGAGGCGACTAGAGCTCATTGTTGGGCGTTATAAAATTAAGACTATACTTCACAGGATCATTTCTGTAGTCAGTCTTCACTTACTTTCACACTATCTGAAAGCACTTCACACCCGCGTTGATGAGGTGAATCGTTTTATTCGGCAGCGTGAGGTTTTGCGTGATGCCCTTTGCGGTATGACTTCGGTCATCCGTGTTGTGGGCGTGGCGCTTCGATGATCGCTCGGTAACACGAATAGAACGAATTCTGAGTGGTGTACAAAACCTTTTTAAATAATCAATTTGAACCTAATATTTTAAGTGGAAGTAGTTAAGTAGCTGTCGGACTCTTCAGTCTGATTTTCGCTAGTAAAATGATTCAGTTCGAGCACTGAAAAGTGCCGTTAAGAAGTTTTCAATTGAAAAATTCGCTTAGCAACGTTGAAGGGGGAAAGTTTATGGGGGGTCTTGTAAGCGGCGTGGAGTATGGCTCTGCTCTGCTGGTTTTCTTCCAATGTGTGTATTGGCTGGCAATATTATATAATATGCAGTAACCCCACCCTACCATCCCATCCCCTTATCCGCATAAGAACTGTGTGTGACCCATTTCCCCATCCCTTGTTAAAAATTTATATGTCGTATAACTTCTCAGAGTCTCCGGCAACAGAAATTTGAGAGTACTGAAGGAAGTCTCTTGGCACATAAGTTTTGTGGCACGTTAAGTACTTTTTCCCCAACCATCGCTTGTTGCTGCTGTTGTTGTTGTTGTTGTCTGGGCTGAATGTGGAATCCCTGCCCATATTCCTATGCCTCCGGGGTGCATAGTATGCACATGCAACAAGAAGCAGCAACAAATAATAGAGAATGGCAATAAAAGTACGATACATATTTAAGGGCAAAGAAAAAAAAATGAAGAAAAAATGTTTAAATAGTTTCTTGCTACTTCTTTTTGAGAGCTTGCAAATGGCGTATGCGCTATACTAGTGGAAAGAGGGGATGAAAACGGGGAGAGGGTGGGGGGATGTTGAGGGCAAGATGAAAAGCGCAATGTAAAATTACTTTTTGTGCATTTTTATTATTGAAGAGTTTTCATTCGTTTTTTGTGTGCCAAAGTTTTTGGCACTAAATTAAGCGATTCGCAAATAGGTATTGTTGATAATAGAAATTGATATCTCAAGCATAGTCGACAAACTTTCGCAATTTACATTCTGTGTAGTTTTTTTTGTGTACGAATAGAAGGAACTCATTATTTCGAGAAATTTTGGCTGACTTGTGCATTAATATATATATGAGAAATAGTCGAACGATTTTCTTCTTCCTGGAATTTATGTAACTTTGTTTAAGATGTGAAACTTTTCATTTTAGCTATCAAGGAATGAAATTAAACTACAAAATAGTCTTCAATGATAATATGTATTTTAACTCAGGTTGATGCGAGTAGAAAAAATCTACATTATTTGATAAATGGATGCGATTAGTAAAATAACACATAATCTAAATATTGTTTGTGCCATAGAACTGGTTGAAATCGAACAATAAATCAATATTAAAGTCAGATTTGAATTTGTCTGTTTTCTGTTTAGTTTTTTTTTTGCTACATTTCTGAAAAAATATTGTGAATATTCGCAGACAAGAATTGCCCATCGACATTTAACTGACTCATGACTTATAAAAAATGACTTATTTTGACTATCCTTGGTTGAAAATACACATATACATTTTTATTTGATTCCAACACAAGTTGCTCTCGTTCGTTGCGTATTTTCTTTGCCATTTTTCGTAGAACTTTGGCCTGGCTGGCAGCAGCATTTTGAGACGCTGCTCGGCGGAGCCACTTTGTTTGCCTCGCACGTATCGTCATTTTTGACATTTAATTATGGTTGCCTGCTGAACAGAGTACAGTTCGAATAGAAGACGAGTGCGAATGCGAATGCGAATACAAGTATGGGTATGGGTATGGGTATGAGTATGAGTACTCGTATTCACATGCCCTCAAGCTGTAAGCTGTAAACTCGATTTCATGGCTCTTCGAAAAAGATGCTCCAATGTTGCCACACACTGCGCCAGGTAAGTTGACGCATCCAATGCGATCTACGTGTACATCTTGCTCTGTTACTATTACTGTGTCTACCCAACCTGCGCCCTGCCCCCGGCCCCACCCCTCTGACTGGACGTGCGTTGTCAAAACTGGCTCTTCATTTTTTTGCAATAAAAATGCTCAGCTTTTCTTTTGTGGCGTGGACTCCTGTAGCGCTCCTGCAGGACAAAGCTGTCGCATGCTGGCGATTTATGAAAAAATCGCCGCACGTGATGTGAAACGGCAAAGGATTTTTTGGGTTGTGAAGTGGACACCGTCCACTGTCCACCGACCACTGTCTCAGTGTCCACTCTCTGCACACGGGCTCTGCACAGGACAATTGCGTCTAAATTAATTATCAAGGATAACGGAGGACGTCTCAGGTTCGCAGCGTCCCAAACGTCTGCTGCTTTTGGCTAATTCAATTATGTGAGCGCCGGCGGGTAGCTGAGAAATTAAAAACGGCTTAGGCCAAGTTAATGCGGACTTAAGCGCGTTAATTAAAAGCCAGTTGATATGTTCGTGCATCCCCGCCCCTTCCCCTCCCCCAGCGCTCTCTCAAACCTCAACCAGCACCCTTTAGCCCAACATCAGCTGCAATTGCAAGGGGTGGGGGTGTGATTTAACACCCCATTCTCCCTTCAACCCCACCTGTGGATGAGGAGCCAACCCCCCTTCTCAGTTGAGCAGACGGCGGTCCAATAAAATTGCCCGCTAAAATCACGAACTGCAAATCTCTTGAGAATAATTTGAGAACATAGAAAATGCCAAAAGATGCCGCCACGGAATCCGCCACATTAAAATATGATGAGCTCCGGCATATAACGGAAACGGGAAGCAAATGAAAAACAAAGTTCATAAAAATGTTGTAAAGAAACGTGCAGCAAAGGCCAAAGCCAACTGGCCAAGGTGCCTGTGGGTTGGGGGGCAAGGTGGGCGTGGGTGCGGAGCAGCAGTCCAAAAAATAATCAACATAAAAAAGAAAATAATTTGCAATATTATCAGGGACTGCAAAGAATTCCGCACAGTGGAATTAAAAAGGCTGCAAAACGGCATAAAAAAAGAAATGAAAAGAAAAACTGCAAAAGAATTGGGAGAAATTAATGAAAAATAATGTAAAAGAAATTAATGAAAAATTCTGCAAAAATTAGTAGTTTTTCTGCTAATATTCAAATAAATGAAAAGGATTTTATTGGTTTTCGTATAGCTAAATGGAATTATTCTGCAAATTAAGCCATGATATGTTTAAATCAACAGTTTTTGGTTTACAAATGGACAAATGGACTTTTGCTTTCTGGACTTTGCTGGTCTTTTCCTTGTTTCTTGCTCTTCTGACTTTTTTTTTGCAGTATATATCTTTTGCCTATTGGGACCACTGTGCATGGGATTTCAGTGCCCCCGCTCAAGTTTGGAACTGAGTATCTCAGTTTCAGTTGGACAGTAATTGAAGTTAGGTACGCGCTCAAACAAAATGCAAATTAAATTTGGTTTTAATCAAGCACACACTTTCAAGCCACAACAGCAAAAATAAAAAATATGAAAAATATAAAAAATATAAAAAAAAAACAAAACGAAAGCAACAAAAATAATAACAAGACATGACGAAAAAAAAGGTCTTCTAGCGGGGGTCGCTACTCAGGGCCAGATTTCGAGTCAGCCGCTTGGCCCCGGATTGGGGCATAGGCAAATCAATTAAAGGGCCACATTTCCAGCACAAAGCGCATTTAGTGTTGACCTCAAAGCCATTAACGACAAAAAAAGCCAATTGGCTGCTGTCCACTTCGAATCACTCATCGTTCAAAATAATGATTGGAGAAAAAAGACAAAACGTGATCATAACTTCATCAATCTATCAAACTCTATGTGTGCATCCAAAAAAAAGTCGAACAAAAAAAAACTGGTTTTCGGTTTGAGAGTTGGTTGCGAGTGCGAACGAGACGGGGCGACTGGGTCGATTGGATCAAGTTCAAAGTCAATTTGGCCGCTTCCGTCGCCGCTGGCACTAATCGGATCCGCTGAACACAAAACATTAACTATATAAAGACTTGCATTCAACACAAGACCAACAGCAAACTAAGTTTGTCGATTGTAGCAGAAACAACCAAAGCAAAAAACCATCATCATCAATATGGTAAACACAAAACGCCGAAATGGACACTTGGTTGCACAATCTAATCGCATTTGTTTTCATAGAAATTCCTGATCATTGCCGTCGCCTTTTTGGCCTGCGCCTTTGCCGATGTCTCCGAGTTGGGACAATCTGGCTATGACTACCCACAGCCTGCACCACCGGCACCAGCTCCGGAATACATTCCGCCCGCAGCACCAGCACCCGAATACATTCCCCCCGCTGCACCCGTCGAAACCTACATTCCCCCACAGATCGAGGAGATCGAGCAGCCCGCTCAGGATGGCTATCGTTATAAGACTGTGCGTCGTCGTGTCTTCCGTCACCGCAACTAAAATCCAACTGTAGATAAAATGAGTGCTTGAGATGAGAGCCTAGTTTGTTTTTTGTTGCTGTCATCTCTGGACTCGAAGAGGAGTTAGGAGCAGAAGTAGATTGTTGTCTTGTATTTGCTTTGATGAACATCAAAGGATCTGTAACAGGATACTCAAAACTGAATTTAAGAATTCAATAAGTTATGAAAATATACAAAACTTGCTTGAAAACCCTTTGCATTTCATTTAAATATCGAAATCAACAACTTGGCAGAGATTTCAGCTGGGTTTCGAGAACATTTTGAATCTTAACGCTGAAGATCTTTCTCCAGTTGTGTAGTGAGATTTACAATTATTATTGTGGTTTCGCTAAAAGCTGGAAAACAGATTTAAATGAAGTACGAATTCAGGCAGAAGTCAAGTAGCGTTGTATTATTATTATTGTATACGATGTCAGCTGTCAGCTAACTTCTAGTTGGCGAACATTTCGTGTAGATTTTAGTGTCAGCTCCATAAACAACTTAATTTGCCATTCATTGAGCGGCAAGCAAGGAGGAATGGAAGGGGGTGTGTGGGGGGGGCCACTTTCCTTACCCGCTGAGTGGCTGCTGGCATCGATAAGTTGCCACAGCTTGCACATCTCGTTTGGGTTTTGGGTTGTGGCAGTCGTCGTTTATAAAACGCTTAACATTCGTGACATATTTCGCATTTGGCTGTGCTGTGTGTCCAGCACTGAAATTTATAGACTTTATCCATTAGGAAAACAATTACGACTGCAAACAATGACTGCTGCTGCTACTGCTCCTGGCCAATGTCCGACTGATGGCAGCGACTCCCTGGCCCGAGCATATGTTGCGATTGCGATTCGAGATGTCGCCGACTCCAACTGCGGCTGCTTCACCATCTCCATCTTGGTCTAGGTTCATTGTCCTTGTCGGCGCGTAAGAAAAAATATATATTTTCTTATTATTTTGCCGCAGAATATGCGATTTTCCTGGACGCTGTCGTCGTCGTCGCCTCTCTTGACTTCTTCTGTTGCTGCAACACAAATCCAATTACCTTCAAAATAATAAACTTATGTACATACCAAAGGCAACAACAGCAAATGCCAATGCTGAGCATGAGCATGAGCATGGGATATCTCTCTTACACACAGCAACACACACACCAACACACACACACACACACACACCATGACACACCAACACACTCACACACCACTCACATTTGCTTTATCAACTGTTGATAGACTCCATGGGGAATTTTCGTATGTCACACGCTGCCACCAAAGGCGACTGCTGATGTTGGGCAGAGTTGGGGGTTTTTGGTGATGTTGTCTGACGCTATTTTGTTTTTATACCCGCACCAAAGCGCCACGTTCTAGTGCATACTTTCTCAAGATGCTTAAGAATGCCACGAAATCTAATTCATTGTATACTTTCGATAGGAAGGAAAAACAGAAAATTTTAACTGTCACCGACCACAAATTAGTCTTAAAAATACTTTCTTTTGGTTGAGCAATAATATTCGTGTTAATTCGATTTTTATTACATTAATTAAAGGTCTTTTTAGTTTGAATAAAGTTCCGAATATTTGTTAACTTAAGGTTAATCAGTCAGCAACTTAGCTGTGTTTGTAGATACAATGACCTGATGAATATTTGCTGATCTATTGAATATTATCAGTGCAGCAGTATCTTTAAAGATTCAACTCGAATGTTATTCTAAACTACGAGGTATTTGCACCGCTGAGTTGACTTACAGAGCTGAACTTAATGTATTCTTTATCCTGTTATAATTCTTTCATTTGTACATCTGGGCAGACAAATTTGTTAGCCCATCAATAACTACAGCAGTAAATTAGAGTATTTTCTGGGGGTGTCCAGCACTCAAGACCCGGCACTTGATGATATTGTCTCTCACACTTTGTAGTTTTGATCTCCATTGTCCTGTGTCTTCGTCCTGTGTCTGCTAACTTCCATGGCTTGTTTGCTGCTCATTATTCGCCTGGCAGCAGCACGAATGCACGAGCGCAAATAATTTTGCCACTTGCATGTCATCAGCATAAACTGGGTGCAAAATATGTGGCATCCATTGGCGGCGTCCACGACAAGGGGAGGACAAGGAGCGAAAGGATGACGACAACGACGACCGAAGGAAATTCGTTTTAGAGCAAAGTCAACAGCAATTGGCCAAATGACTTGTAAGGGTTTCTGCCATGTCACAGCAGATATGCCCCCAAACAGCGAGAGTGAGTGAGAGAAAGTGATGGAGAGATAGAGAGAAAGAGAGAGCACAAGGATATGAACTGTGGGAGTGCCTCCTTCTGCAACAGGACTCGAGTCCCACATCCTTTCCGGCTGGCGAGCAGTTTATTGAATTCGCATATTTTCCCATTTTGCATTATGGCTAACAAGTTGGCTCCTTTGTTTTTTAGCAAATTTTTGCCTCATGCTGTTTGATTTTGTAATCGAGGATTTGTTTGTTTTTTCTTTGGTTTTTTCTTTTTTTTTTTCTTTGGTTTTTTCTTTTTTTTTTCTATTTTGCGGCATTGAATGTTTTAGCAATTTTTTTTTTCTTTGTTGGGTTGAGCACAAATTGGTCTGGTCGTTGAATTGACCTTTTTACTGCACTGACGATACGACAAGAGAGACGAGAGGGAGAGAGAGGGAGAGGGAGAGAGGAGAGTTGGCGGCCCAAAATGCCTGTGACATGTGTTTGGCCTTGAGCGGTTTGTTTAGGGTTTCTGCGGTAAACATATTGGATATGGTTGCTCGTCGCAATCGTGCTGGGTTTTTATCAATGGACTGTGCGGCATGCTAAGTGGCAGTGGCAGCAAAGCGGTGAAGTTGAGTTGATTGCCAAAAACTCACAGAAGGGTAGACCTGTTGGATTTCTCAATATACTATTCCAAATTGATTTTGAGCTTGGCATAAGGAATGACTGTCTTTAAGCTAAGTTTCCTAAGTTCCCTAAGTCATCATCATCCAAGATTTATAAGTATTTCAGAAGAAAACAACTTTGATAACGTAGCAAATTTTTAACTTATGAAAGAGCTACTTTTAGAGCTATAAAATGAAAATAATATACAGTAAAAAATGCTAAATTTTGTTTGAAATATTTTTAAAAATTTATTATTTTACATTAAACTGAAAACAATTGTTTAACAACAAATTTTGAATCACTCTCTTCTTCTGTTCTTTTATCACATTAGTCAACAATAGAAATTTTGTGGTTTGCTTGTGGCTGCTTCTAGTTGCGGTGACGGAAGACACGACGACGGACAGTCCTGTAACGGTATCCATCCTGAGCGGGCTGCTCGATCGCCTCGGATTGGGGTGGAATGTAGGTGTTCTGTGGTGGTGGTGGTGGTGGTGGAGGTGGGATGTAAGCTGGGGCTGGAGCAGCTGGTGGAGGAATATAGGTGTTCATTGGTGGTGGTGGTGGCGGTGGTGGTGGAATATAAGTGTTCATTGGTGCCGGTGGTGGTGGTGGTGGTGGTGGGGGAATATAGGTGTTCATTGGTGCCGGTGGTGGTGGTGGCGGTGGTGGGGGAATGTAGGCCGGTGCAGGTGCTGGCGGCGCCGGAGCTGGATAATCATAGCCTGATTGGGGCGCCTCAGCCAAGGCGCAGGCCACAAAGGCAACGGCAATGATCAGGAATTTCTGTGAATATATTCGGATTAGGTATTTTTATATGTTTTTTTTTATTGGATTGTTTAATGACTGCAATCTACCATGTTGAATCTGTTGCTGTTGCTGTTTGGAGTCCAAGTCGCTGTGTACTGCTGAACTCTTAACTCGCCGTGGTTTTTATAGCCCAAATAGTTGAACCTCCGGTCAGCTGAAGCAGTCGCAGCTGCAGCCGCAAATATTAATTGCGTGACGCCACTCAATCTTACTGTATCTGTATCTCGATGTTTGCCCTCAAGTGCCACGAACTCAAGAGTTTGAGATTCACAAGAGGCGGAAGAGGGGCGCCCAATGCCAAGTGGTTGGACGGGTTTTTGCCGGACACCTCAAGACAATGCATCTTTTTGACTGGGGTCAATTAATATTTTTTTTTATTTTTGTTTTAAACCAAGCAAGCTTCTTTAATTAGATCAAACACAGTTTGTCCATTTACATATGAATATCATCAGTTAATGTTTTTTCTTCATTTGTATCTCTATGTTTTTTTTGGCTTTGAGTCGAGTCTCTATTATTATATTTTGTGTTTGATGTTGATGTATGTTCGTGGGCCTCTCGTACATTAGTGTTGCCTCTTTTTTTTCAGAATCATTTTCATTTGGCTTGTATGGCTTTTGTTATGGTTATTAGATTAATTTTCTACACAAAGTCGTAATAAATACCAGCTGCTCAGGAAATATGTATGGCGAATATCTTCCTGTATTTAACTTAACGTTGAACTGATAAAGACCCTATGCTTATCGGCTTATCGAGAAGAAATACTTGAACATATAGCACAGGTTCTAGTATAAATTGTATAATGGGAGATCAGTTTTATAAATGGATTTTCTTACTGCTTATATAGACTTAATTTTCATTAACATATCTCACTTTCATAAGAGTTTTTGATCTTCGACTACAAAATCAAAAAATTTGGTGTTTAAAAATTCATGTTTTATGTTTTCAATGTTGTCTTGTTGTACTTCTAATTTTAGCTTAACTTTTTCAAGCTTTTATTTTTTGTCAGCTCACATTAATAATTTATGTTCAACAAATGAGCTTTCAGCCCACAGCATCACTTTAAGTTTATGCCAAAATTAATAATAAATTGTTTTTGTTTTTCTTTTCTGTTCATTCCTCTGGTTATTGTTATTGTTGTTTCAGCTTCTGGCCAGTCGGTTAGTTAATTGGCGAGAATAGTATTTGCCTAATTTATTTTCCCAGCAAATATGTGGCATATTAAATAGGATTTTGGTTACCAGCTGTTTGCTTCAACTGAATACCAATTAGGGTTAATGTCTTACATAATGGAACTGCTTTATTATGTCGTAAATCTTCCATGCAAGGAAATAAACTACGAAAATATGCTGCAGACCAAGATCAAAATCTATTCTGAATGCTCAACTAATATACGAGTTTGTTTAGTTATAAAATTTTGTAGAGGCGATTTTCGCAATCTTTTAGAACAGTCAGAGTTCACTTTCATTTTTTGTAATTTATTCATTCATTAAAAAAGCTTTTAAGCATATTTAAATATAAAGAACGGCGATCTTAGCAGATTCGATTTCATACTCTTCCAGACCTGGCAACCAAATGACATCAAAAGAGCCGATTGTTTCTATGCAGCCATTTGAAATGGTTATTCGATTTTGATGATTTTTCCCGAAATTATGGTATATTGATCCGAAATACTGCCTGAAGCAAAAAGTCGGATATATTTCAAGCTTCATCAAGATAGTTGTCAAGCTGAGGTATTAGTTTGAATATAAGCAGACAGGAATAGCTACATCGACTCGATGAGTAATGCTGATTAGGACTATATATACCCCTTTTGAATACCCTATAAATTCATTTTAAAATGTGTATGACACAAGAAGCTGATGATCCTTCGGAACCTGTCGACTATAACTGAGACAGTTATAAGAAGCGAAGATCCTTTCAGACACTCGTGACTAGAGCATGCTTGTTTAAATAATGCCAATAGATTAAATCATAAAATTATGACCAAATACTGCCCATAAGATCACAGAAGCCAAGCTGTTTTTTTTTTAAACATTTATTGAATCAACTTGTCGGCGCCTGGATAAGGCAGGCATTGGATCGCTGCCTAGAAACGGCGACGGATCACGCGACGCACTGTCTTGTAACGGTAACCATCGGAAGAGATGGGCTCGATTTCCTCGAGGGGCTGCTGAGGAATATGAACTGGTGCGGGAGCATGGTGAACTGGTGCGGGAGCATGGTGAACTGGTGCCGGAGCATGGTGAATTGGTGCGGGAGCGGGGGCTGCGGGTGGGATGTACTGGTTGACCGGAGCTGGAGCAGGAGCCACATGAACGGGAGCTGGAGCTGGAATATCATGGTGGATAGGTGCGGGAGCTGCAGGTGGGATGTACTGGTTGACTGGAGCTGGGGCAGGAGCCTCAATGTGAATGGGTGCAGGAGCTGGACCGCTGTGAACGGGTGCTGGGACGATATGGGCGGGTGCTGGGACGGCTGCAGGTGGAATGTAGGTGTTCACGGGCTGGGGTGCAGGAGCAACCTTAATGGGCAGTGGTGCGGGTGCAGGAGCTGGCTCGGCATAGTTGTAGCCCGACAGATGGGAGACATCGGCGTGGGCAACGGCCAAAAGGGCAACGGCGACAACAAGAAGCTTCTGCAAATGAGAATCAAAATCGAAAATAGAATTAGTCCTGACGATGTCTTACTCCAACTGGCTGTGGTGACACCTACCATATTGAAAGTGTGTGTTACTTGAAACGATTCGGTTTGTAGTATGTCTTGGAGTGCCCGAGACGGGTAGTATTTATATGAATCTCAGATCAGTGCTGAGTCCGCACTGTCGAGTCAAACTCGATACAGAATTGCGCAAAATAAGAGGCTTTTAATATGCCAGAAACTAGAATTTTATTGTCAATATCTGGTTACACATAAAGTAATTTAGAGGGGTAGGGTATCAAGAGTGGTTGACAGGGTCACACGGTAGCTAATATCGCATATCGTTAAGATTAACATTTTTAATAATGTCGAACTATATTTATGATGCGCTTTGCATATAGTTCAGAAAACGGAAGTAAATTTATAATTAATTTTTAATAATTTATATAGGTCTTACAGACATATTTATGTTAGAAGGGCATCGGCATTACAATTTGTAAATTAGTTTGTCACACTTAAAAGACCCGCTTACAAATTAATAATTAAAAACATATTTTTTTTTAGATATAATTTTTATAAATTAAATTTTCATATTTTTCTCAGCATATTTGTTTTGTCTTTTTTTTATTTGACTTTGAAGAAAAGTAATGGAATCTTTCTCTTAACATACATTTTTACAATGCTTCACATGCTTATAGCGTCCCTAATAGTCGGCTAAGTCCAATATTTAGTTCCTTTCGCACTTGTTGGCTTGAATTTACATTTAATTTGCATAAAACATAAATGCTTTTTTTCGATTAGTCAACTACCTGCCCACTGATGCTTAAGTCAGCTCGACAGTGGGCAGCGCTGACCTGAGCTAAGCCGTGTTGATGGGCAAGCCAGAAGTTGTGATTAGGTTTCTTAATTAGCTCTGATAAGGCGGACCAGTGTCATTTGATTAAGCCCGGTCTTGTAGCCAACTGAAAACCTGAGATGCGAATTTGCCAAATTTGTCTCGCTACTAGTTGCTGCCATTTTGTTGGCTGTTGGCGATGCTTTGGATGCGGTCCACTAGATACAAATTAAAATGCGTAGTTTTAATATGCAGATACACATATATACTTCAGTGTGTGTGTGTGTATGTGTGAGTGAGGTTTCAGTTCAAAAGAGGAGAGTGTCGCCAGTGCGACTGCCGCCAGTTTCTCGCCGTGATATGTCAGCATGTGTGACAAATATCAGTGGGCGAATGTTTTGAGTGTCTGTGCGTGTGAAGGACGCGCTTTTCTCTCTCTTTTAATTACACAAATGGACAATGAACAATTTCAGCTTTTGCCAAAAAAAAAAAATAGTAATAATAAAAACATTTTAGACATTTTGGCGTCTCTCTATTCGGCTGTGTCGCCATTTATATATGTATAAATAAATATATATATATGCAGTTCACCATAAGCAAATACTATAATACCACTGTAGCTATGCAAACAAGCACTTAACCCGCTTTCATTTTGTCAATTCCATTATTTTCGCAACGCCAATAAACTGAAACTGCAAAATGTTTTGAACCCAAACGCGCACACAATCATAGCATGTCATGCCACATTGCGTATACGTAATTTAGTTCTTTGGCTGTTAATAGTTGAAGTTGCAACGCATCTCTATAAAAATTGACAGCAAGCATTTTGGGGGGGAAATGTTCAACAGCCAAAAATTGCATGCAATTGTGATTCAAAGTATAACAATGCAATATTGTTGGTTGGCATTACAAACTCTGCAATTTGATAGTAAAAAGTTTCAACTTTTGAATACAATGCGATGAAGACATTTATTATTTACTCGTTGTTATTGTTGTGCTGGGGTCAACACTTTGTGCTTGAAGCACTTTTCAACTTTAGTTTCAACCCGTGTTAATAATTTGTTTTTAATTCCTTTATTTTTATTTGATAAACACAGAGAAGACGTGCAAAGTTATAAAGTGAATTAAATAGTGCTGCTTACGCATCACTTAAGCAATTGAGAGGTGTCTTAATTGCTCCCTTCGTCGGTTGAATAAATATTTATCTGTAATCAACTGAGCGTTCATCCAAGTGCTTCATTTACATATCCATTTGAATAGTCGGCATGTGCTGATTAATTATTTGCTTTGATTCACACACGAAATATGCTAAACGGCTTTTCTAATATATATTTCATAGATTTCAGCTTGCTCGTTTCCTGCTTTAAATCCAATTGAAGTTCGGGCCAGCATTTGGGCACCTTTCAACCTTCAAGGTCAGGGCCTAATGAACCACACATAAATCAACCCCAATAGTTGGTAAAATAAATGTGTTTTAAAACGAATTCAATTGGGATAATATCGAGTGAATCCGCAGTACTAAAGACCAATCGGCATGCCAAACTCTTTAACAGCTAACAACGTTTAACAATCGATTTTACATTTTTCTTTTCTGTTTTTCGAATGCCCAACGACCTGCCAGATCATAAATTCAGGGACCCCAGATCAAACCCCCCCTCGGTTTGTACAATACGTCGTATTTCTGTATATTTCGCGAGATAAATCAACGCGCGACAAATTAATGCTGCAAATGAAGTGCAACTGCCGTTTGCTGCAGCGCTGGGATGATGGAGGGAGTGGTTTGAAAGGATATTGAGGGTCTGGGCACAGGTGTGATACATCGCCGCACATTTAAACCTGCGCCGCCCCAATTTGCAGTAACAGTAAAAATAAATGAAGGCAGTCAACGTTGCATATATCAGTTGGCCATGCGGCTGCCACTGACGATATAATTACGCAGATACTGTCAATATTACATGTGTGTGTGTGCAGAGTTGCCGTAAGCGTTGCTCGTTGTAATCCTGCTCCATCTCTCACTCTGCCTCTCCCTCTCCCTCTCGCTCTCTTTCTCTCTCAATACATGCCTCATCACTTTTTATATGCGCCGCAATTTCACTTCTTTTATTTTTGTGTTGGTTTTTTTTTATATTTTTGTTCTCATTTCCTTTTGCATACTTTTGGGCGGCAGTGTCGCTTGTCTGCCATGCGATTATTTTGTAATCCATGGCGCCTAAAGCATTGATTACACATTGCACACCTGGACAGCGGAGCTCGTCGAAGGTGGGCCGAATGCCAGGCCATAATGCGTGTTAATCAGCATCATTAACTGCTAATTAAGTGCGGTTGCAAATGCAGCCAACTGTCAATTGTTTTCGAACCAGCAGCACTGCAGCACCGCTGCACCATCACCTGCCATATCTGCTCAATCTTTTTTACTACCCAGAGAACTCTGGCTGGCTGGCTAAGCTGGTGAGCAATGTGCAATGAGGCTGAAAATTGCACATTGTCAGATTGTTATTCGGATTCAAGCATCGCTAAATGTTGCTGCTGATTAGTTTGCGTTTAGTAATTGTGCTTAAATTCGTTGACATATTGCAGTTTTAACTTAAATAAAATAAAATCATACTAAAGTAGAAACATTTTCGCAAATGTTCAAATTATTATTCATCGTGTGGAATGATTATTTTCACCACATCTTATGTTGTGTAAAACTATGATAGCAAGCTCAAACAAATTTATAAAAATACCTCTAATTGCTTTAGCTAAATTCCAATTTGCAAATTTGTTAGCATAATCAACCGCATTCCAGTTACAAATGCCAACTGATTTTTGTGGTGAGTGGCAATAGTCTATAAATTGTAATTGCCTGTCAAAATGGATCAATGCAATTTCCACAATATCCACATAATCATCTATCTTTATATAGATTTCCAGGATGGGTTGTGAGCATCAGAGCCTGAACGCATTTTAATTCATTTAATTAAGCTGCCAATATTTGACCAAAATGCAATTAACAAAATCAGGTCTGGTGGTCCTTTGGCAACTGTCTCACGTCCTTTGTCCCGATCTATGTGGTTGCTATGGCTGCGTCCAGCAAAAAATTATTTGTTTGAATTACGCAATTCATTTGGCAGCTTTTCGTTCTTAAATTTGTGCATTTTTATTTATTCTAGCAGAGAATCTAATATTAAATATTAGAATGTAAAACACAGAAGTTATCTAAAAAACCATTGCAGACCAAAGAGAATGGCATATTCCTATTAATATGCGGCATTTAATGAATGTGACTGCTGTGGCGACGCTCTAAAGTACGAATCCTGAACCACGACACCGAGCATTAACTGGATGCTTGTAAAATTCATTGGAGAAAACGCGAACTTGCAGACATTTCCCTAATCAAATCGTAAAGACGTCGTCGAAGTCATTGCATTTTCTTTTTAATTTTCTTTTGGTCTTCGACCCCGTCGATGTGCTGGCTCTCGTGTCCCGTGTCCTGTGTCCCATGTCCTGGCACTTGTTAGCGCAATTGCGGCAGTCGGCAGCCACAAGTGGTCAGTGAGGCCTGATGAGGCCAATGTGAATGCGATGCCGCATGGTGGGCGTGGTTGTGGGCGAAACTTTTGAATCTAACGAGAAAAATTTCCACATCATCAAAGCTCATTCCAGCCCATAAATTTCGTGATAAATGTGAGTGCATGCCGAATGCTCTGCGTCGACCGACTCCTTGGGGAAACAAGGAGTGCGGCTGAGGCAACTCCTGCTCCATGCTGCTTGCAACTCCTTGACGGCCGCCTCTTGCTATCTGTCTGGTCGATAGCGATGGCGATGGCGAAGGCGATGCGGATACTAAGTTGATTTCGCCTTTTCTCTCAAGAATACACCGGCAAAAAAAACATTCACTCGATTTGAACTCATCAAATCATTGTTTATAAAATAAATAAATTCAACAATCAGGTAAATTGATAATCTTCGATTTACTTTGACTTTTGGAATTGGAACTATATTTTTCTGTGGGAAATTTCATAATCGAAAAATGGTATGTTTTCTTAGAGTGCATTTGGCTTTCATAAATTTCGAACTTAAATGAAGGCATGCCTTGAAGTGGTTCATAAACTTGGAGCTGCCCGCTGCAGCCGCTGATTGGGACTGTTGCTGATTGAGTGCGGCCAGTCTTCCTATTTTGATTGGAAAACAATTTGGTAAAGTTTCAGTCAGATTCAGTTTCAATTTGAGTATTTTTCCTTTTTATTTCATTGTTATTCTACGGGAAATTCGTTAGGATGCGTTTGACTATTTACAGCTGAGAGACGGCTTTACAGACGGTTGCGACGGTAGACGCGACGACGCACAGTCCTGTAACGGTAGCCATCGGCAGAGGGCTGCTCGATCTGCTCGAACGCCTGGTTCGACTGATAGGATTGAGCGCCTGCCGACTGGAAGGATTGAGCGGGGCCCGATTGGAAGGATTGGATGGGTGCCGACTGGAATGATTGAGCGCCTCCCGACTGGAAAGATTGAGCGCCTGCCGACTGGAAGGATTCAGCGCCTCCCGACTGGAAGGATTGAGCGCCTGCCGACTGGAAGGATTGAGCGCCTGCCGACTGGAAGGATTGGATGGGTGCTGACTGGAAGGATTGAGCAGGAGCAGGGGGAATGTAGCTGTTGACTGGAGCAGGTGCGGGTTGCTCGTAGTGGACTGGAGCAGGTGCAGGCTGGTAGACTGGAGCCGGAGCAGGTGCAGGCTGGTAGACCGGAGCCGGAGCGGGTGCCTCGTAGTGCACTGGTGCTGGTGCTGGTGCTGGTGGCACATAGCTGTTCACTGGTGCAGGTGCGGGTTGCTCATAGTGGACGGGAGCAGGTGCTGGCTGGTAAACCGGAGCCGGAGCGGGTGCTTCGTAGTGCACAGGTGCGGGAGCGGGCTGGTAAACCGGAGCCGGAGCGGGTGCTTGATAGTTGTAGCCAGATCCACCGAGATGGGAGACATCGGCACTGGCGCAGGCCAGAAAGGCAACGGCAACGACCAAGAATTTCTTAATCAGAAAAAACCACAATTAAAATCAAATCCTTGAATGTTAAATTCCGTATTTTTCTTAACTTACCATTTCAGTGATTAGATTCGACTCTTATTCCGCAAGCTATTGAATTGCTTCTGTCTGTTTTGGGGCTGGTCCGAAACTATTTATAGCACCGAACAGTTGAGAGAGCAGAGTATTCGAATACTCCAAACCTGCCAAAACCAAGAGAGATATTTGCTAATCGCATGCTGTATCTTGAATATTGAATATAAATGTTTACTCGTTGGTAGCCGACTATTATTTGGGGGCCAACGATTTCTACTGTTGGTGATATATTTTTTTACTGACAAGATCGTGTCTTGTTGGCCATAAAGTTTATCATGCTATTGTTTAATTTATGCCATTAAATTAATTTTTTATATTGCTATCAAATGTCATAAAGAATCACTGCTAACGGGAAATTTGTTAAAAATGTATATTATTTATTTAATATTATTATTTATGTGTTTGCCGCCACGCTTATATCTTTGACAAATGCCTTGTCTCAAATCGAATACACTCAAATTACATTTTATTTGCATAGCGGACTAGTTTAAGCTTAGAGTTTATGGCTTCTCAAGAACTCTTTGTTCTAGTAAAATTCAATTTTTAATACATTTATATTTGGTTGAAATTTGTCTCACTGCATATTGTTTTTACTTATCTTTTGATTTATAAAAAAAGTAATTTGGCTTTCCCAACTTCTGTTTTTTTTTCGCAAAAACTATTAATTTCTATGCGGTCAGCACTAAAAATGTTGTCTAAGGCCCTTGGCCATTAATTCTTTGTCTTTGGTTAATTTGAGTACCACAAAACCAGTTGTGTTTTATGATGCTGTGTGGATGCTTTAAAATTTGGGCCTGGCTATTGAAAACTTCTTCGGACAACTTCTTGAAGGTTGCACAACGTTGGTCTATTGTCTTTAACGCCTTTGCAGTTTGTACACTAGATACATTTTAAGATAGATCGCCTTCAGGAAACAAATTTACATTATCATGACATGATATTCATGAGCATGAGGTTTCTGAAGATGCTATATTATTATACTATCTGCGATGCTATCAAGTATAAATTTAAATTTCTTTACCACATTTGTGCAAGGCTTAAACAAAATCATAAATAAATCTTAACTAATTAGGTAGTATAAGAATGTAGCTGACAGAATTACATTGGAAAAGAATAAAGATTAATGCTTTAGATATGGTATTATTTAGTCAAATCAGCGAATATATTAATAGTTAAATGTTTCACAGATTTATGTAGCTAAAATAGGAAGAGAATATAGAAGAATATGTGTTAATTTTCTGATTATTTAATCAAGTATTTAGAAATATTACTATTCAATCGAATAAGGAAAAAATTGCATTCATAAAGTATTTTAATTTAATTAAATTAGTTTTTTCTAAAATTAACATTTAAATTTATAATTAAAGTTCAACGCCTTGCTAGACCATTGTGTTATAAATTATTTCCTCATGGTCCATAGTTGTACACACGCTTGGAATGCTTCATTATTTTTCGCTGTATTGCTCATTATTTATGGTGATATTTTAATTTGCTGTCACGCCGACATCGTCTTTGACTTTGCTTAGACACTTGAGATTGCAACTACAAATTCAGTTTATACGGCAGTTTATCATGCGCATTACTGTTTAACCTTTGCGTTGTACAAATATTTGCTTGTAGATTTGCTTTCTGAATGGTATTGTTGGGTTTGGTCAGGAGTGGGATCATTCGCAATCCAAGTGCAAACAAGACATTGCTTGTTAAACAAACTGAAAGATTCATGGCCCAAGCGAATTTTAAAACTTGCTCTTCAATTTACTAGCTGCTAAATAAAATTTCAAATTTTCTATGTTTTGTTTGTTTCCCTCTTTTTTTTTGTTCGTATACCAAATTTTGTATGTAAATGTCGATCGTTTTGACGGTCAATTTGCTGACGACGATTTCCATGGCTAAGCTTCCGTTTATGCTGTGCTATTCGACGGCTCTCAGTTACTCTTCGGCCTGTCCCACTTTTCCATATTATTATTATTTGATTCACATCTGCAGCTCTGACCAGCTTTGCCGCATAATTAATGCAAATATAGCTCAATTTGACGCGATTTTGTTTTAAACATACTAAACACTAACTTGTTTGGTTATTGTTACCATGGTTTCTTGCCTTTTTAATATTATGCATAATTTGTACTGCCCGTTTTGCTGAGCGTCACAAAACTGTGGGCTAATTATACCTCAATTGTTTTGGCCTTGACTTTGAAATTTAAATTTTGCTCATCAGCATCTTTCCGCCTGTTTAATTTTGGTTTTTTTCCGTTTCCCTTTTCGGATTCTTATTCGTTCTCTTGGCCGCTTCTTCATTAGTTGTAATTAAGATCCGCTTATGAATTCATGTAAATGCTAATTTATATTAATGATAATTTTTTAATTCCCTTTACACTGCAGCAAGTTTTGTCAACTGATTCGACCTGTTGCATTATTCGTTGTTATACTTTTGATTATAATTATTTAAGTTTTGATTTTGTTTGATCTGCATCTTTTACTTTCATTTGCTTAGTTCCACGTCGTTGCATATGAATGAGCTATGATTTATATAGTTATAATTAAGCTTATACATATTAATGACACATTTTGATTGAGTTTGCACAACAAAGCTTTATAAGCCATTGATAGCATATCAGATGCAGAAGAAAATTATAAAATAAAATGTGTAAATTTATGTTGTACACAATAATAAAAAAGATTAAAACAATTTTCAAATAAAAAGCATATCGGATCCATAAAGTATATATTGTCGTAAATAGCATCAACAGCTGCTTAACTCTAGACCTTTGTGCTTCAATCAATTAATTGTGAAGAGTGTAAGTAGTTTAATTAAAGATTGTTAGTAAATTTATTAGCACCGAGAATAGGTAAAATTAGAAGCGACAAAAACATTAATTAATGTTAAACATGTGTGCGAGATTTATTTAGTTGTATATATAAAGAAGATCGTTGTTACACAAACAGAAATTCTATCTAAATATTCTTACGACCAGCGTCAAGTATAAAACGAACTAATTGCCACACACACACACATAAGCTACGCACACTTAAAACACACACTCATAAATCAGCTTAAGAGAGGCATGAAATTTGTAGTGCGTTTCGTGTGCGGTAGGTGGAGCCACCTGGCCCCACTAAATATAATGCCAGCCAACCAGATAAGCGCAAAGTTCTTAATGAAACGACACGCATGCACAGTAGTAAGCTGTACAATTGCGAATGCCTCCCATTTATACAAGTATACAGTTGTATGTACATATATATATATATATGTTATATATAGCTACAGTTGGAATTTTGGTCTTTTTTGGCATTCAAAGCGAACCCCTCGAATAAAAGGCAAATAAAGCAGAGTCGAGTCGAGTAGAGTAGAGTCGAGAACTTCAGAGTCGAAGCGAAGTTGCCAGTTGCCAGTTGCCAGTTGCCAGTTGCCAGTTTGCCCAGTTTTGCGAGAGGTGCATGGTGCACAAAGGCGAACGGAAATGAAATCACGTACCAGGGGCGTTGTCATTCACAATGAGTGTGCGGCACAAGGCATGACTAGGAGCTGTACAGTAGTTGTTGCTGCATTTGTTATTGCTGTTGTTGTTGTAGCTGTCAGCAGAGTCGCGGCAGATGCCATTTTGTTCTGTCGTTGTGTGTACGTCTAATGTCCAATTTCAATTTGGACTGGCTGGCTGACAGCAGCAGCGGCAAAGCCAAAAGCAATGCCAAAGCTACCGCAAATGGCAAACAATGCAAACCAGCAACCTCCTCCAACCCTTCCCGCCTTCCCACACACCGTGTCTTGCAGCAACCTTAACCCACACTAAAATCCATGTACGTGTGAGTTTTGTGTCCCCCTCGTCTAGCATTTCACTTAAGTGTGGATACTCGCACAGATAGCGGGAGCCAGGGCGGAGTGCTGGGTGAGGTGGAGGAGACCCGCATAAGTTTATTTACTTTTAACACGAAATAATAAAGTTTACAAAAGAAAACGTGTGCCGCTCTTTTCGCTCTTCTCCCTCCCCCCTGTAGCACTCTCTCTTCCTCTCAAAGTAGACCTTCTTTCTGCTCATTTGTTGTCACAAGGCGAATATTTAAACAAACTCGTGAAAACTATCGATTGTTATTTAAGTTGTAAGAAGTTTTCATATACTTTTTAGACAACATTTATTTTTACTCTCTTCTGAAAAGATGAACGTATTTCTTGTAGAATTTTATAAAACTCAAAAAAGGTAATTTAAAACCAATTTTAATTATGGTTTTTGGGTTATTTTTTTTAGCTTTAAGCTAAATATCATTGGAGAGTGTATTTTCAAATAGCTAACCAAAAAGTTGCAGTGAAACATACAACTTTCGTCACAGAACTCCGAAAACAAGGCAGAGAGCAGAAAAATTAGCGACATACTGTGACGTGACTCGACTGCAAGTGCCACACGCAGTTACCTCTCTACATCTACCTTTTGTACTCCATCCCTCCATGCCTCCAGCTAAGCTGGCTCACTTAGTTGTTGGTCGTGTTCCGCTGCTATTGGCCATATGACTGGCTGACAGGCTCGCATGGACAGTTTGAGGATGTGCAGCCAGGCTGGCCACTTACAGTCAACTGAATTATTTAAAAAGTCGCAAAGAGCGAGCAAAAGTGGCAACTGCGAATGTTGTGCTTTGTGCAATTAAATGCGTTCTCTGCTCGTACGCACACATGCGACAACCAACTAACGGCTGAAAGTAATGATAATTATCGTTATGCGGATACCCAGAGCCGCCACATGCTCATGTATCTGGCATGCGATACGTAGTATGTGGTCCGTGCATGTGCTTCTAATTACAATAAATTTGGCTAATTATTGTCTGGCAACTCCCCCTGTAAACTTTAAGTAGCTCTCACAACAACACGGACAAAGTTTTTCCCATCGATATGGTCGAGAACAGCCGCAGTAGCAGCAGCAACATCAGCAGCAGCAACAGCAGCAGCAGCAGTAGCAGCAGCAGCAGCAGCAGCAGCAACATCAGCTCGTTGAAGACTGGGGACCAATGTTTGGCTAATTGTCTTGTAAATTATGATAAGAAACTTTCACTCTCAAGTGCAGAGAGAGTTGGTTAAAAGGGTCAGTTAGGTCACCTGCATATGGGAGGGACGAAAAGTGCACTGTTCAAAGTCATTAAGTGGCATTCTCAGGGGTTGAGTAATGACATTGTATGATACTGACATATTGTTGCATAATAAATTACTGAGTGAGCTGCTTAAGTATTATAATTATGTGCACATATATCTAGGTGTTGACAGCCAATGGAAACTTGAAAAGAGTATCTATTTACAAGTTGTTTTCATTTGCTTGACTATCTTCTGTTCTTGCGAGTCTTCTTTTTCTGATCAATTAACATCTTCATTTAATATTTCTTAATCACAGCTTTTATTATTAACATCTCTCAAGTAACACGAGAAGAAATCTATTCAAAAGCAGCTGAAAATGCAATCTGATGTTAGAGTTATATTTTTTGTGCACAGACTGGAACCAATATTTGAATTTGGTATCTCAACTGATTTGTCATTTATAAGACTTTCACGAGCCATCGCATACAACATAGTATCTGTTATTACAATCCCCAACTGTCAGCGCTGATATTTTTAACAATCATTGCAAATCAAAACAAATGCCAAACGATTTGCTTTATGTGCAACTGCAGTGATTTGCCTAGGGAATGTGCGGCTGTCAAGCCTTTCATTTTTTATTGCCCCGCAGCGCTCAGCCCTCCACGCCTCATGCAACATATGTGCGCTTCATAAAGTGGGCGATACTCTTCGCTCTGCTCCAACCCCGTTCAGCCCGTTGCAAGTAGCAAAATGCAGTCAACTCGTGCGCCAGCTGAGCGCGCAATTTAGCACAACAATGCGATACGTATACGCCCCAATGTAGCGGCCCCCCTGTCCCCCTGGCCGTTTCCTTGTTGCCAAGTCATGTGTTGTCATGTATGTCTTCAGTGCTCCTTTCTGCCTGCTACTGCCATTTAGAAATGCCTTTGTCTTGGCTCCGTTCCTGCTGTTTGTTGCTTTTCCTTTATATTTTTTGTCTTGCCAAATGCGCCATATTTCTGAGTTTATGTCTTCGTTTTCTAGCAAATATTTTTACACAGAGAGAGAGTAAGAGTAAGAGAGAGAGAGAGACAGAGGTTCGTTTGGGTGGTAGACAGCAATGCATATGCTTGGCCTGTCGTCGTTTTGTTTTATTGCATATTTATATTTTATAGCGAAAGTAGCAAAATATACGAGTAAATCGTTGTAACGCTGTTGAAGGCTGCTCCAGAGTGGGTTGTGGTGTGGATTCAAAGGCAGGGCACTATTCTTGGCCTTTTTGGCAAACATTCGATATAAGTACTCATACATAAGCTCTGTCAGTCGCACATGTGCCATGTACCACACAGACAGACACATACACACACACACATACAAATATAGATACACTATGAGAGAAGTCCTTGCATTAAGTTCTCGTTGCGCTTTTCGGGCGGTTTTGGGATGCGCCAACACAAAATTCAATCATAAAAGTTTTTCAATAATCCGCTTTGCCTCGATTGCATTTCAATTTGCGCAACATATTTGTGCAAAAACTTAATTTTCCACCAATTAGTTTTTTGGGGGCTGCTTCGATTGAGAGGGGCAACTGAAAGTGTGTGCAGAAACTCGTAATTGATGTGTGTGGACAACAAAACAAAGTTTGTAAGGAAATTTCATTGAACAGCCGCCAGCGCAATTAGAAGTAATGGAAATTAGCGATGGGTTCCATTTGCATAAGCAAATGTGAAAAGGAATGAGTAAATTAACAGAATTTATGTACAAATTTGCTAAATTTTTATTTGTTTTTTAGTTCAATTTTAAGCTGCTTGATGCATTTGCTTGAACTATGCCAAATCTCATTAGTTAAACTTTTGTGATAGACAATCCGTTAGACTAAGCTATATTTTACCTAACACCCTTAACTATCATGAATTGCTAGCGATCTTCTTTATAGGTTTTAGCTGGCAATCACAAATCCCCCACATTCTTTGGACACCAAGCGCCTAAGCATTAACTTAATGGTTCTCGCATCATATGGCGCTCCGAAGCACATTGAGCATTTTTATTGATC